GTTCCACAAGAAGAAAATCAGACATTTCAGGGCAGCACAAGCCACATTTTTTCCAGGTGGAGGTAGTAGGTGTCAGAAAACACCTGCATAAATGGTGAACTGGTAGAGAGAGTTTTCTCAATCCTAAAACCATCCGTTACCACTTCAGACTGTGTAGCCAGTACACAGGTTATAGAACTCTGGTAACTTCAGAGGGTCTGCTGTGCAGAATGAAAGATTCACCTCATTTGTTGTCCAAGCATTTCTTTTTGCATTAAGGCGTCTTGCTTTTTCATTGCATGGTCAGAAAGAGTGGGTTTCATTGCAGAGGATTTTCCAAGCCCTTTTTCTATGTAACTTTAGTACTTGGTGTTCAGAAAGGAAAGAAAAAGGACTGAGCATAAGCCTCAAATAGTTGCCATTTTGTTAAACACTGATGCTTTTCTCTACTGTTCAAAAAAGTACCGTAACAACCATATGGAGTTTTGCAAGTATTTTAAGCAATGCTTCTTTTAAAGTGTTTAAGCAATGGTAAATAGTCCTGTCTCTATTCATTTGTCATTTGAGCTCACCCAAACCTTTGTATGTCTATCCAATTTCAGAACAGAATATTCATGTTCGTACTCTTATCTTGCACAAATTATTTTTTCTCTATTTGCCTACACAAGTAATCTCTCTGAAGAAGAAAGAATTAGTCCTTTTTATGAGCTGCTCACAGTATTTTATGATCCAACCCATCTTAATCACCTTTCTCAACGTATACCTTAAACTTTGAAATACTGAATGTGGGGGATCTGTATTTCCTTTTCAAACAATAGAGTGAGTTCTCTTTGACATATGGATAGGAGGAACAACAAACAGACTCTCAATTCAGAAAGTAATGCTAGTAACAGAAGCTGTGCTTAAAACAGATTTCAGATGTAGCAGAAACTGTAAAATATAACAGAGCACTTGCCACTTTAACAAATGAGTGAAAGGAATTGTACTCCATTTGTTCAAGTTTTATTTATATTTTCTGAAATAGAAAAGTGAGTTTGTTAATGTATATTGTGACACAAAATTCTGCACTGTTTGTGGCAAAGTAAGAGGTTGGGATAAGAAGATATCAAATATATGTATTTATCCTGTGTGGACTGAATGAGCTAAATCATTTTGAAATTCTGAGAAATCTGAAATCCTGAAATCCTGATGAGCATGAAATTTGCCCACAGTGCATGTTCACATGGTTATCAATCTATTCTCAGAACAGAATCCCAGCAAAACATCTGAACACATGAATTGACCAACCTACACAAAAGTCAATATTTTATTAATAGTGCAACAGAGAATTGAAAGCTATTCTAAAACTGCATTCTTCAATCTAAAGTCTGAAATACAGGGCAAAAACCCCAAAACCCTGAAGCATGTGATTAAGTTGACCTTTACTCAAGAAAGAGCTGAAGTACCTATTTCAATTTAGACAGAGTATTAACCTGAAGGAAGTCAATAAAATTGTTATTATAGCAGCTGAAAAATGTGAACAAGTCCCAGTCTGTTTCATAACTATAAGCAAAGTATGTCATCTACACAGCAATCATTATTTTAATATGTATCATTTAAAAATATGTCAGGCTTGCCTTGTGATGCTAGAACATCTGTACCATGAATCCAGTAGTTCTCAAACAAATTTGTACTCTTGGAATAGCTGTAGGTTTGACAGATAAAATAGTGAAGCTGAGATATTAAAAATAAGCTTTTTAGTAGTAGTCAAAGAAGGTCCTTTGAGATCACATGAGCATGCCTGAGAGTGGCTGCCTTATAGATGGGACTTCCTTACATGCTCTTTACAAGCTCAGATTTAAAAATCCTGAGTTCTTAATATTCAGGTTTTTTTCTGGGCTTTTAGGAGGGAGTGTATTTAAAAATCTTAGAAGAACAGGAACAATTGAGAACAACTCAACAACTGAACTTTTGTGGTATTAGGATAATTATGTGACTGTGAGAAAAGAAAAAAAAGAACTGATGGAAGCTCTTAGATTACATTTCTCAAGTGCTGTAGCATCTGAACTGTATAGCAACATCATATTGCATGAATTCACAGCACATTGTCTCAACATTGACTCTCTTTGTGAGGATTATTAAGATCCACATCGACCTTATCCATCTTTCTGACGATATTATCCTCCAAAAAGTTGCTGTTGAGCCAGGAAAGTTGTAGGTGATACTCCTTTGCTTTTCTTCTATAACAGAACAAGCCCTCAAAGCACAGTAAGAGCAATGAAGCTAGCAACTTTTGCAGGCATATTTATCTTGTCAAAGCACTGAGACAGGATAAACTTTTCATATGCGTATGTGTGTGCCAAAATAAATCTCCTACATAAATTCCAGTGGCTAAAAGGCACGTAAATGTGTGTAATATAAATATCCCACCAGATTTCTTTCTATTGGAGGTGATAGAGTCTGAATCCTTTCAATAGCAGAGCTTGACATTTTACATTCAGCACCTTTTCATTTGTGTGAATTCAACACAAATGTTTCAGGAATCCAGAAAGTTTTAAGTCTGCTTTTGTTTTAATTTCTCATTTTAGTAATTCTAGATCCTGTTACTAATATATTATCCTGCTGATACTCTTTCTGTATTTTATAGAAATACTTTCTGAAAATTGCTTGTGACCTCTTCAGAAGCATCTGAGGCTGCAAAAGAAGCCTCTCCATGTTAAAAAAGAAATTCTAAAATTTTGCATGATCTGAACTGGATTGTTGCAAGTATGGTCAGATTTCTAATCATTGCTTTTTTTTTTTTTTTTCAGGAAAGCATAGATTTGGGTGAAATCATGTTTTCCCTTTGCTATTTGCCTACTGCTGGGAGAATGACATTAACAGTCATCAAGTGCAGGAATCTCAAAGCAATGGATATAACTGGAGCATCAGGTGAATCTTCTTTTTTAAATAACAAGGCAGAGTCTAGTCAGGAAAGGGACAACTAGAAACTCCTTGTTTTTTCTGTGTTTAACATGGTGGTGAGATGGAAGCAGCAGGAGAATGGATATGGGCCCTGTTCAGACCTACTGGCTGTCTTTGGTCTGACAGTATGTCTGTTCGGAATGCCTATACCTTTCCTTTCCATTGACTGCATATGACAGCATGTTGAAGGCAGCGTTTGTCAGGGCCACAAAAATCTTTGAGATTTTTTTTTTAATCAGTATGACATTCCCACAAAAAAAATATTGCTTTTATGCTACATATTTGAGTGAGTTTGAGTCCAAATGAACACAACTTACTATGTTACTCAGATCCATATGTTAAAGTGTCACTTATGTGCGAGGGTCGAAGACTGAAAAAGCGGAAGACGACCACAAAGAAGAACACACTCAATCCTGTTTATAATGAGGCCATCATCTTTGATATCCCTCCAGAGAATGTGGACCAGGTCAGCCTCTCCATTGCAGTGATGGATTACGATCGGTAAGCACAGTTTTCTTTCTGACTGTTAATCTGCAGTAGAGAAGTTACCTGATCATTTCAAGTGACTGCTTTCTACCTGCTTGAACTTTCAAGTAGGTTCACTGTCACAAAAGATAAAGCCTTTGGGTCTTTTCCTGAGGAGGTATAAAGCTTCCACACCTTTTAGAGCTCAGGTCATTTCATCTGCGTTGTAAGTAACTGTGATGAGGAAGAAGCATGCCTCAGTCTTCTTTCAGGCAACTAACATTAGCATACATTTCTGTCCCCATCTGGTGGCCAGACTATATAAAAGTTTTATAAATCAAGTATGTCTCCCAGCTTAAAAAAGGCCCTCACACCTCTAATTTCTATTTAAATGACAAGTATTTGAAATCAGAGAAAATCTGGATGACTAAAAAATAATTAGATGCTAATTACCTAATTGAATTAAGTCATAGTTAGTTCTTCAGTTGACTCAATAAAAAAGCTTTTTAACCTTTGTTTTCAGCCCTCACTGTTAACACATCTTAGCCCAATTATCTGTGTCCCCACCGAGAACTGACAGGAAGAGACTCCTGCTTAGAGTGGCTGAAGGACTGCAGGTTAAACTAGACAGTGACTGACAGAATCATGTCCAAGCCAACTCTGCTTCAAGTGCCATTAGTAATGAGCTCTGGAGGTTGCAGGGCAAATAAACAGTGAAAGTCCAATTTAGTAACACAAACCTTCAGGTTGTTTTTCCTTGACATCAGATTTCTGATCATCCTCCAACTTCGGTCAGGAAGACTTTCTTGTCAGATGTGAAAGCAGCACTGTGGTGCCACTAGGGAGAGAAGAGCACAGCAACTTGCACTTTTTCAGTCCTCTTCAACTGCTCCTTTTGAAGCATTTGCTAAGAGGAAGTTAGGAAACATTCTTCCAAAATAAATATAGGCAAGGTACAGAGAAATACTTTCTGGAGTCCCTCAGCAAGTCTATGGCACTGCTAGGGGTATGAAGTATTAAGGTATAGCCTATTACGGCTATGACTCTTGCCTTTCACGTTTTTGACTGAAGTTCCAATGACCACAACACTTAGAGCTGGGAAATTCAGTGTGAAATGGTGTCTGAAGAATTTGCAGAAGGAAATGTAGTCCCCACCATTTTCCTTCACCTTCCTCTGCCGCAAAATTTAAGCATGCTTTCCTTCTAGATCATTTGGTGTATTACGGTCCGTTTCTGTCCTTGTGCCTTTTGGGTTGTAACCTTTTAATGGCAAGGATTAAGTCTTCGTTGCTATTTTTATAGCTGCTAGAAGCACCCTGGTAGTGGCAGGAGGTTTTTGATGTTACCATTACAGAACTTAATATTACTATGCTACCACTAAAACTAATATCTGTAATAAATAATGTGAAAACTTTGGGCATGTACTCTGTGCTGCACTAAACCAGTAAACAGAATTATACATCAGATGTTATTAAAACAATTTTTATTAAAAAAAATCTGCCTTTCTGCAATTCTCAGAGTAGGGCACAATGAGGTCATTGGGGTATGTCGGACAGGAATTGATGCTGAAGGGCTTGGAAGAGACCATTGGAATGAAATGTTGGCTTACCCACGTAAACCAATAACTCACTGGCATCCACTAGTAGAGGTAAGATGTAACGAAATTTTTCTCCTTCTCAGTATATTGAATGTTTTTGTCTCTCTCACACTATGTGCTTCTTAGAATCATGAAAATCAGTGCAGCATCTATGGACCAGCTGTAAGATCCTTAGCACAACCTAAATCTAGCTGCATGGGTTCATTGATTCCTTACATGTGCCATTTCTAAAGTTTCCATGATGCACTGATGTTATTGTAAAATTAAATTAAGACATTTAAAATTTCCCAAGATTATGATAAGGAGCTTACATCCACTTAGAACAGATCATTTGCAAGTATTTCAAAAGCAATAATTTCCTATTCAAAAACCCTGATCATGAACAGTTATGTTGCTAAAACATTAATCTCAAACTGGCCTGCTAATTAAGCTAAATTGATACAACATGCTGGCAACATACCAGCAGCTACCTCCAGAGCTACTCAAACAGACTCTTATTGGAAGCTTATTCAAATGCATGGGTGATTATACCTACAAGTCCCTGGGCTTGGACTCCCTCTTAAGCCTGCTCTGGTCACATCTTACTTTTTTTCTGTATGCAAAATGCTCACATCTTTGGATTTTGAAAGATTCATATTGAAGCCTCAAGAAGCAGCAGGTTGTTTTGGGACACAGAGGACTGTTTAGCCCTTCCCAAAAGTAATCACTCTAGAAAAATGAGTTGCTGTCTGAGGCATCACGGGCCATTTGGTTTCCCCACTGTGTAGCACATGGCTGCACAGCATGTCCAGTAACACGTCGAAAAGGACCAAAAGCAAGGCTTCGGTAAAACACCTAAAGAAAAGTGTGAGGGAAGGAAACTGAGTCAATGCAGCAGAGAAGCCTCTTTTTAGAGGTTCGTGGCTCTTCCTGGATTATGTAAGTTTGCAGACAGACATACCACACCTAAGTGGTGAAATAAACCCACTCCTGTGAAATGAGTCGGAGGCATTTTTTAGGAATTTTCTCTCCATTATTAGTTCGGCCAGAGACTTTGATCCAGAAAGGGTTTAGGTGTGTTTTGGGTTCTTCTTTGAGTGAGTCTCTCATCCTCTGAAGTGAGTGTGATGCACAACCAGACATGATGACATTTGTAAGACTAACACTTTTCTTGCAGTTACCTGGCCGAGCAACCAGTTTTGATAGCCAGGGATCTTGTTCATCACCAAAACCACCGCTTACGCCCTAGGGAACAAGAGTGGATTCATCATGTTCAGTGTCCAAAGCTCCCTTGTAGCTCACATCTACAGAAAGAGAAGGTTTGGCTTCTGCAGATGAACTGTATCCATATTTTTTTATTAAAATACATTTTTCCTATTCTGAGTCTTATATTACAGTTTATAATAATTTCTTAACGTATGAATGAAGTTGACTTGAGCCAAATATAACCCTTCCTCATGCAAATTCATTCACCTGTTTTCTCATTGGCATATATCCGGTGTCATACACAAGCAGTGTTTTGACATGACCTATATCTTTGCACAGACAAAGAAATCAGAACAAAAAGAAATCCCTTAAGCAATTCAAAATCACTGCAGCTTGTAATGCCTAATTCTTTTGAGGGAGAGCAAATCGTCATATATCGATCATGTTGTAAATTTCTTCTAAATTGCACTAAATCCTATATGACTTCTCAAGATAATACTTCAAACTGAATGTTGCATGAAAAAAACAACTGTTGTCATGTTTTGAGTGTTTTCAAAATCAGTTGATTCCTTGGGCAGGGAGGAAGGACTGATCAAAAGTCCACTGAAGCCAATGAGAAGGACCCTACTGGCTTCACTGGGATTTAGTTCAGCCTTTATGGAACAGGTCTCACAACTGGATCTATGCAGTTATAATATTCCAGCACTCAAGATGCTGGCTGCCCCTGCAGGAACTCGTTAGCCTGTCCAGCAAAACAACCAGGCACGTGCACCCAGGCGGGAGGCTATACTCAGTAGCTGTTTTATGTCAGCTGCCCACTGGGTCATGAAGAGCTGGCTTGGATGTCTCTGCATGGCACTGGACAGCACATGTATGGGTATCATTGTGGAAAGCTAATGTGTCTGCAATGAGTTGTGTGGAAGTTGATGCAGCTCCACAGAGATGTAGGTGTTTCCTGATGAGGTGCATCCATCCCCTGGTATCATGCAGTCCTTACTTGGTCTTTGCACAGGTCAAACTGTAGAAGAGAGAATGCTCTGAAGTAAGGGAATTGATTTAACGTATTTTAGCTGTTCAAAAAATTGACCAAAACCTGTAGTTATGCACAACACTTCTCTGACTCTTGATTTAATGTGACAGTATTAGATTTCTTTAAAGTTATTCTGACTAAGTGCATAGCTCACATGGAATAGTTTCTAATCCTGGCTGGATGCCTCTAGAATTATATGCTAAATGTGAATTTGAGATATGTTTTGTGTCAATATATGGAGAGAGAAATTGAAATGTAATGGTTTTATAAACCAGTAAACTCATTTACTAGAATACACAGTGACAGCAAATGCAAAAAAGTATTGGCTGAAGTGAGCTGCTTTAAAAACTGGAAGATAACTACATATTATTTTGTGGATTTAGCTCTTTTTAACACTTCAGTTCACCTCAAACGGATAGTTATTTTCTTTTTTCTCTGTTTTTTCTTTTCTTTCTGCAAAGAGCATGTCACAGACTGCATGATTGGGACTGAGATTTTGAAAGATGGACTGCAACTAGAAAGAAGTTGAGGTGGTGGCTTTTTTGTATCTTTGTTACTTATAAAGAAAACTGAGAAGATAGCATTTTCCAAAACAGTGTTTTTCAGAGGAAGTGTATTATACACGAGAAAAATGCCAATGAAAGATTGGTTTACGACAATGGAAGAATTTGTGAGAATTAATCTAGTTATGAAGGGAAAAAGCAGCTTAGACAGACGTCTGGAGAACCATTTTGGCTTGTTTAGTTTGGCCTGTTTGACACAGAATAAGTTTATGAAGATCCAGAACCAGCATTCCACTAACTAATCTCTAAGACAGTCAAATATGCCTTGAAGTGTCTTAACTGCTCCAGGAAAGTTAGGAAGACTTGTCTTAACATTACAAGTGTTTCTAAGGCAAAAAAAGGAGGTAGGTTTTATACCTTGCCTTCTGTGCCTACAAACACAGTAACCAAACAAATAAATAAAGAAATAAAACTTTCATACATCCTTTAAATTAAAAAAAAAAATAAAAAATGCTCCAGCCCAAGTTTTTGAATGTCTTTTCCAGGTTGCTATGATTTTGCAAAGTTGATATAGAAACAGAGATATATATATATATATATGTGGAGATTGAAAAACTATTTTGTGTATACCTTTATCTTAATATAAATTATATCAGCAGTAGCCTTTGTGGCCTAGAAAATACTTTTTGTAATGTGGTACTGTAACAGTTAACTAAATATTCTTTGCACTTTTTTGCACCTAATATCCAAAAAGCTAACAATTTCATGATCAAATGTAGCATAAGTGTTCAGCAATGAACAACATCTTTTTAACTATTTCATTGTTCTCTATGAGTATCCTGTATGTTTCGTTGTAAGTAGTAAGGTATTTCAAGGTTCGTTTTCTTAAATTTAAATTGTTGTCAAACACCAAAGGAATAATAGCTTGGTTTGTGCCCTCTTGTGTTATTTTTGGTATTGTTAACAACAATAGTGAATCGCTTCTGTGTCTAAACTTCATTTGTGGGTGCTCTGCATCTAGGAAAAATCAGGCTGCAAAATTACCAGGGCGTCAAACTTCAGAAATGATCCCCTAATTAATTATTTTTAGTCACTTACCAGTGATTCATAAAATTAATGCAAAATATTTTTTTTTCCCAATGCCACCTTAGCTATCTTACAAGACGGTATATATTTAGTATAAGCAGCCCGTTGGATTTGGAGCCTGGTTCACAAGTTACTCTCTGAGCATACTCACAGAAGCACTGAGTAAAAGCTTAGGACAGTTTTAGTCAATGAATATGTTGCTTTATGCATCTCATTATTAAGAAATTTTAAATATTTTAATATGGAGAAGTTATAAACTCCCTGCTCCCGTCCTGGATGGGTTTTTTTTGCTTATCCACATTTCTGCCATATTGCAAACATTAGCCTAATTTAGGCAAAATCAAATCTGGCAAACGGTTGGTGTAAAATATATTGTAGTAATTTTACCACAGTTTGAAAAACTCGTATTACTAAAAACATGAGTTATTTTTGTTGAAATAATTTACTGGAAACAGTAACAGTACTTAATAAGAATTGTATTTTGCACTGCAGAGCTTTTTTATGCTTTCACAACAGTAAACCACAGAACTGTACAGAGAAAGTACATGATGGATTAAGTGGTTCCAGGGGAGCTGTTAAATTTTTGTATTTATTTTCAATAATGCACGGTAGAGTGAAAAAGCCCACATACAAATGTATCTAATGAGCCATTCTAGTCTTTTGGGTAAATATTGTTTTCAAGCAATTGTTTCCCTTCCCCACATTAAATACATTTTCAGGAACCATTAGATTTGCTCTAAGCAACCATAAATGCAAAATGTTAAGTAGGACCCTAAACCACAGGTAGATTTAGGATTCCATCAGCACTGCAGACAGTAGCATAGGTGAGCATATGCTCAATAATATTGTAATCCATGATCTCAATTTTAGATCACTTCCACCAATATAGCCCTCTCCCTCACTCTCCCAGCAAGCAACACTCTCTTTCCCCACCATCTTTTGTATATATTGGGATTCTGTTCAATCAGTAGAGACCTGACCCTACACTGTCTGCAGTGCTGAAAGCTGACTCCTGGCCTTAAAAAAGTAGTAATATGAAAATGAAACCTGTGGGGTCTTGACCAAAAAGTGTAGGATAGCTACATCGCTCATTTTCATTCTACGAAAAGCTGTCAAGGAAGTAACTTCCCTTCTCCACAGTCCCTTATGATCACCAGACATTCAGAAATCAGTAATCCAGTCTGTTTTTTTGCTTCTAGCAGGCACTAAAAGAGCAATATACCTGTCTCAGAAACATGTATATTGGTCAGAGACAGGGAAAGTGGCCAGAAACAATAAGATAAAACAAAACTTAGTATATCAGGACAGAAGTTCCCTTGCAAAATTTCTTCTTCAATATATGGAATTGTTTTGATTTCTTATGTTTAAGTAACAAAACTGTACATTTTTCTTAAAGAATCACAACTACATTCAATATTTTTATAGAAAATTTTGAGCAAATGTGAAATGTTTTCATTGGGGTGATTTTTTCCAAGGGAAAAAGCAATTACTTCCTAATTTATTTCTATGGATGCATTTTTTGAGCAATATTAAGAAAACATTAAGTTTCAAAAAAAGACTTATTTGATCCATCCATCCCTTCTATTACTCAGTTTTTTTAATTGGCTTCAGTGCAATCCTTTTAAAAGTTTTTAACATGATGATGCAAAACAAATACATGATAGTGTAGTTCCAAGATTATTTTGCTGTATCTTTTTATCAATTAACTGCTTGTATCTTATAAACTTTTATATGTACTTTTTATTACATTCCATTAATTTAACAAGCTTTATACATCTGAAATAATTTGACTATATTTTTAAAGTGTGTAAACATTTAAAAGAAGGGTGAATAACTATTTTAGAACTCAGTAATAGAGTACTTCTGCTGAAAATGTCAATTTTTTCGGAGATCCATAAATGTGCCTGCAAAATTTGAAAACCACCTTATTAGAGCATGCAAAAACGTAGATTTGCACATACAAGTATTTGCACTTTCAAAATGTATATTCATTATTATTTAGCACTTCTATTACAACAGAATACCCATGTCTAATCAGAAATATGTTTCCATTCTTGATAAATATTGGACAAATCTGTACTGAGTGACAGTTCCTTGACCTGAAAAGTTCATTTGATTCTATTTCTACAAATTAACATGCTTGAAAATTCTGTAGGCGTTAAAATATGACTTATATGTTAATTAGACAGTGAGGTGACTTTTGGACCAAGGTCATATAATATCTGTTAGACCACCCAAAATATGAATAAACTATAATATACGTGACAAGAATACTAATACATGTTTTGATGGAAATTTTCTCTCTCATTCACAACAGAGATGAGATTCAGTTTAACCCTTTGCTCAAGATTCACTTTCACTTAGCTTCTGAGGCTTGCCAGTCTAAACTGAGCTTCCTGGTGTCAAAAAATAGCTAAATCACGG